GTTAACGCTGGTTACCAAATAAACGAAGTCGTCTACTTTTTCAAACTTGTAACTGTCAACAGTGATACGCGTCTTGGTATGCTCTGAGGGAGTCACTTTGTCTGAAACCTCGTTTGGTTTCAAACGGCTCGGAAAGGTCCTTCCCAATTCTTAAAGAGCTGATGGTATTGCTCAACGTCGTTTTACACAGTCGTATTAGTTTTGCGGGGATACCAAATCCAGACATCGCAGCATAAAGAAAACTTCTTTTCGTTATGTCGCAAGCGGCTTTGAAATCGACAAATAGATGGTGTGTGTCGATCCTATTCTCGCGGGTCTTTTCCAAGATATTTTATATTGTTAATACCAGATCTATGGTGGATTTGCCAGGCCTAAAGCCACACTGATAAGGTCCAATCAGTTCGTTGACCGTGTCAGTCTTTTACACAATAAATACACCCGATAAGACCTTGTAACCTATGCTTAGGAGACTGATCCCGCGGTAGTTGGCGCGAATGCCAGGGTCGCCTTTCTTGCGGATTGGGCAGAGCACAGTGAAATTCCAGTCGCCAGGCAGGTTTTCATCTGACCATATTCTGCAATTCATCCAACTTACTCGTAACAAAAGGACTTCCTATGAGTTAGGAAACAATTGGCTTTGTCTGGCTTGAGGCATAGACCGTTTATAGAGGCTCACTCTTACGAGTCAAGTCATAATTCAAGGTTTTACTATAAAAAATATTAGTACGTTTAGGAGGACAACAAATATTTAATTGGACATAATCAGCATAAACATGGGTATTACAATACTGGGAACGTTAGTGCGCTGCGAGAGAAGTCTTATTCCGCGATTCAAATGCATTTGCGCAGCTCTTTAATACAATACATATATACGTACGTACACCGCAGTCTAGATAAGTGTGACTTCGTTGGTGTAGTTCAGGGGTTCCCAAACTTTTTTCACCGCGGCCCCCCTGTTGTGCTAAAAAAAATTCGCGGCACCCTTACTCTTCCAATGTCTACGAAAGCGAGAAAACACAATGCAAACTTTATGCTCATTTAGCTTGAATGTGAGGAGTGAAACTGCTATGATGATTTCATTATTTCCTTTAAGTTTATTGGGAGATTTGACAATTTTACCCGGAAATCATTTGACGCTGACTCCACAAAAAGGAGAAGGTTAGCAATTCGTCGGAATATTTTTTTATTAATATTTATTTTTTTTATGTATGTTACCGTATAACTTTGGACCACGTTAACCGATTACTATAATTCTTTTTTTAAGAAGAAAGGTGTTACCTCACAGGCGGTCCCATTCTAATTTGGTTCAAATCCGATCATTGAATAATGAAGATATAACCGATAATCTTAAATTTGTATATGAGAATTGAAGCCGGTTTTGTTTTCTGCTTAAAAATTATTTGTTTATGTAAGCATTTCTTGAAAATGCAGTCTCACATAGAAATGTAAAAGCAAAAATCACAAGTATTTTTAATGCAATCTTGCCAACAGCAGCGTTTTCTGCATACACTTGCATCCAGAAGAGAGTTCTGGCTCCCTTCGTAGTATTTAATATTCAAAGTGCTGTCGTCACTGATGTCCAGAAGGTTTTCAAAAGCTTAATTTGTCATCCCAGTAGGTTAACTTTTTGGATCTGTTATCACAACTGTAGACATCCTCAGAGTCAATGTTGGGAAAATATTCGACAATGGTTTTTTCTAAACGTTCCAAGTAAACGCTGATAATGCGCGTTAACGCTAAGAACTTCAACAGCCAATTTCACGAAAGCAATTTAAGTGAAAAATTATTTTAATTTTTGAATTTTATATTTAAATTTTCTTGGCGTTAAATTCGAAGTTACATACGTTTTTCTGATTTACTTTGTTTACTTAAAGGGTTTTCATCCAAATTGCTAGACATTCTAAAATATACATGTCACCAATAAAAAAAAATCTCGACGTGCTAGAAAAAAACCAAAGATGTAATTTAATTTCGCAGGCCTCTGTTATCATCGCAACGTCATTCAATATGGGTTTTAAATCTAGTGGCGGCATCTTCCTAGTCGCCAGGGAATACCGAGGGATCCTACACTGACTTCTCGTGGCGTTTTCTGCCTCTTGCTTCATCCTAGACATCGCTCCTGCTCCATCACTGCAAATATCCGCACACATGCTCAATTTCAAACCATTGTTCTGTACAAATTTGTCGATAGTTTTTAAAAATTTCGTCGCTAGTGGTGTAAGTCTCAAGTATATCTCTCATCAAAAGTTCTTCTCCGGTTTGCATTCCGACAGGGTACCGCGGCACCCACTTTGGGAAAGCCTGGTGTAGTGAATCACTAATAAAAACGTAAGGAAATGTATGTATGTATGAATTTGCGTGTGTACGCTTACGATTTCAACTCAGCGACTTGGCACATGCCATCGTAAGTAGACTTTAAACGACGACGACTATCCCCTCTCAAGCCACGCAGTTGTAGACGATGTGGATTTTAGATTCGACAAAGAATTAAAGCGCAGACGTTTGATAAGACTTCTAGGTTGGTCTGCTCGTGTTTCTTTCACACCAAAATAAAATAAAACAAAAACAAAGTAACGAAAAAAATCACCATATCAAGTGAACAAGTGTACGAATGCCAGGGGTAAGGAGCGCAATGCCGATATTTATTGCCGATTTTTTATTTGTTTTTTTTTTATACTGTCTGGGTGGTGAATTGATTAGGGCAACGTGTTTTGTTCTTTGCTAAGTTTTTGTTGTTAGTTTTACTAATTTTAAGTTCGATTGCCGTCACGTCGCACAGTATAACAAACCCGAAAACTTTTGCCAAACATAATTTAGATAACAAACAATTAAGAATATATCACACTCCTATTATTTTGTGGACAACTGTACATACTTATGTAGTTTGAGCGGTGCCTGAACTCCGAACACGTGTAACTACTATTTTTTTATCCACAATTTATGCGGAGATGTTACACTGTGCATCGTGGCGCGATTAGCTGAAAATTGTGAACAGGGTAGTGAGTTATCAGAGATCAGGAGATATGTATTTTTGAAGTATATTATTGCGATACACCGCCCGCGACCCACTCGCACAGACACCCCCAAGAAATGCTGTCTTTCACAGAGTGATTGAAGTACAAAAATCAAATGACGTCAAGTACGCATAAGCTCTCAAAAGGTGCACAGGTTTACATATCCGTATATAGTCAACTTGTGGCGTGTGTCATGCTATCTCTCTTACCGCTGACGCCTCACCCAGCGCTCCTCTCCAGCAACCTAAACCAGCCATAAAGCTTTTATTTGTACTTAAAACAGTCTAGAGGCCCCCTAGCGAAAGCGGCGCTAACAGTCAATGCCAAACCAGATGACAACAACAACACCGACGATGACAACGATGTCCACTTACATATATGTAGTACATATATACAACATATGCACTTACAGTGTTACCTCTACTTGCTGACACCTCCAATGAGCGGACAAGGTGGTCGTAATTTTTCAGTTTTCCCAAGTTGGCGAATTCAACCGGTTTTTTTCCAATTGAAGTTGAAGCTTTTAAAACAATTAAAACTAATTTAAATGCAAATATTTATACCATCAAAAGTCTTTTCTTGGTTTGAGGAATCTGAATTTGCAAATTAATTTTTACCAAAAACGACCGCTGACCGCGCTTGGGTGCAAAAATATATTGCAAAAAAATTGTTTAGAAAAGTGGTCGAGAAACATTGTTTTCACTTTTCCTTCATTTTTCTTGCGTCATAGCGCACCCAACGGCCGTTTTTGGCACACAACAAATTGCGAATTCAGATTCCTCGGGCCCAAAAACCACTTGAAAGGCTTTTAACGGTATAAATATTTGCATTTAAATCAATTTTAATTGTTTTAAAAGCTTCTCCAACTGCACCAACCTGAAATTGAAAAAAAACGCTTAAATTGGCCAACATGGGAAATATTTCACGTTGCGTTTTGGAACAATTCGCCCTCCATTAACCGAACAAGACCGGCCGCGAGCACTTAGTTTTTGAGTTTTTTCTTCACCTGCCCTTTGCGGACGATGACCTCACAGAAATAGGCAAAAAAAAAATAAGAATGAACAAAAAATGGAGTCAAGATAAAACCCTCTCATAAACGGACTCAAGGTAAAAAGCGAACATACATTAGCTAGCATTACACACAGAAAAAAGTCAGCTAAATAAATTTCTCTCAACACATCATTTGGTAACTATAACCAAATAATGTAATTATAACTAAATCATGTGTTGAAGAAAACATATTTAGTTGACGTAAATAAACTCTTTTCTCAGTGTAGCATAAAGTCTTAGTACTAGCATCAGCAAGTCAGCATTTGACGGGATCCACAATGAAAAAAATTAAAAAGCTTACTTTCAGTTATGAATTTCAATCTCATAGCAGGACACCTCCATAGGCGGACAAAAACTTTTGAACCATAAGTGTCCAGTTATGGGAGGTTGCACTGTACATACGTACATACTTACTTGCGCTTGGCCTCACGTTGTGCGATAACGAACACCAACGATCGTCCATGTGTAGTCGTATACGAGCTAAATTTGGGTTTTACACGGGCAATCGCCGCCGCCGGATAGATAAGAGCAACCCACCGATCGGTGCGTGAACAGGTGAATTAGTGGTGAATGGAATGCGATAGCAAGTGCGTGAAATCGACTGCCTTATCCGTTACCCGTTATAAGCAGGAAACGGGGGTTTCGCATTAACAAAAAGCACCAACAACAAAAGACCAGTTAAAAATAGCCATTCACTCCACCCCATTGACTGTCTGGCTGATAGCCATAGTTCTAGCGGCTAGCCGCTCGCTCTCGCACGCCCCCGCTCGCCTGTCTGCGTTATTAAACACTCCGCATATTCTCCACAACTACTCGTCGTTTTCTATGTAGAAGTTAGCGCGCTGATAAGATGTATGCTCCTTATCGCAGACGCTTGTGTTATAACCATATATGAGAACGTTTGCTAGTCAACGCACTCAGTTGTCGTGAGTTCGCCCCACACAACGGTTCTAAGTCTACATTGTAATTAAGTTAACATATCAAATTCAAATCACCACACGTTGACCGTTAACTCAAAAATAAAAGAAAAAAAAAAAACTTAATATTTTTTAAGAAAAACTAAAAAAACTAAAACCTGCTACACAATGGCAGTACAAAACTCTAAATTTCCCAACAGTGTTCTAAACTCGGCCTTTGTGCCAACAAGCGCTTACTACCAGCATCTGAGTGCCGCCTCAGCCGCTATAGCCGCCTATGAAGGTTGGTCGCATTTGGACTTTCTGTCGACACAGCTGGCTCACCCGTCGTCTACACCACCAGATGAACTACTACAAATGCACCATTTAAGATTTCCAACACCACCAATAACACCACCATACAAAAATAGCGCTTATATGCTAGGTATCAATCCCCATACGAAGGCGACACGCACGCGATCGGTCATAATGAAAATTGGACAAGATCAATTGGACAGCAATTTGCCACCTACACCGGAACATGTCGACGATATGGCTGTGGATATTGTTGGATTAGATGACGTGGCCACAAGCGCTGTTGCGTTGCGTCATGAGGCAATGACGACGATGACGAGGACGACACCGACATCGACGTCGACCACTAGCAGCGCCAGCTCGACCCCTCAACATAGTGAATATGTTTGCGAATGGAGCAATTGCGGCAGGTGAGTTGCAACAATAAATTATTCATATTTCGCTTTATTGCGCGCTTTCTTATGGTATTAAGTCACTTCCTAAACTGATAAGAATCATCGTTTTACGATACACCTTAACATGTGCCGCGACATATACATCCGCACCTGCCTATTTCCACTTACGTCTATTTAGTCATAAACGATGAAATAATTCTCATTTGCGCCCTTGAATTCAGTTACGAAAGAAAATAATAAAGATATGGAAACGTGTAAGTGGCCATCGCCATAGCCGAGTAGTTACGAGTTGCGTTCGTGCGACCACTCGGGCAGACACAGGTTCAAAAGCTGGCCCGAGCAAACTCTACAACAAAAAAATTTGTTTCCAAAATAGTTAGTCGTCCCGAGTGTACTTCGGGCAAGAAAAGCCATCTCATACAAAAAAAAAAACATTTTTCGTTCGAAGGCGGAGTAGAACTTTAGGTCCCTTAATTTGTGTAACAATGGCTGCATTTCTTTATTCATTCTGAACATTTGGAATAAACTTTTTTGTTTACTTATTCTTTAGAATATTCCTGATGATATGCTAACGTATATTTCAAACGTATTCTGTTTGTTCCGGCTGTGAAATGGGATTATCCGGAATGTATAAAGAAACGCAGCCAATATAAAAACCGGATTCGGATATCCGATCGGATATAAAATCACGATAAAATTGAAAGTTTTAGTACAAATATAAAGTATTATGCACATAATTTAGTATGGAGGTATTGTAAATGTTTTCGATTTATCCTTTTTGAAAGGAAGAAATAGGAATTTGTTGTGTCTGTTAATTTTCCCTAAAATTCACAAAATTTAGTGCGTTGGGCCAAAGAACTTGTATAAGGGGGTGGGCGTCATAGTAAGAAACTCTTTATTAGGTTTGTTCTACAAGCTACTAGTAGAAAAACTCGAGCAAAGTTCAAACTGCCAGCGTATATCAAATAAACTCCAAAACGTACTTGTGGAACGCGTATGTGTAGCAGGCTAACCTAATATTCACGCACGCCGCCAATTCACAGTCAAAAATTTCTCATGCCCATACAACTTGTATGGGACCAAACGAAATTGAACGGCGTGCGTATGAGGCTTACTCAATTTCCAATTTTTGGTCTGCGTGACATTTTGATTTGACGTTTCGCTCAATGAAATCAAATGCAAGCCAAAACGCAAGCCGCGAATATTAGGTTAGCCTGTAACTCGAAGTGACTTCGAGTAGCTTGTGGCACAAACCTATTATCTTTCAAATTAAAAAATGTTGGCGTAAACGAACAGCGTACACCAAATTTTTCTCAAAAAATACTTATTTATTTTTTTTTTAATACGCACCTCTTTCTAGAATTGGTGGACGATTATGTAAACCAATTTTGGCGTTCTTTCAGATTTATGCTGTTATGATTAAAACCAGCGTATAACATGAATTTCATCAAAATCTGATAACATTTACTACATATTTACCACTTTCCACGTTTCTTCGTTCTTAAGTGCAGAATAGCGCATATTCGAAATTTCAGCGAATTTGGAGGACGGTTGATACTTTTGGCCGAAGCTTATATAGGGACATCTTCACTGTGCGACCGTACAAAAAAAGGCAGACAAGAAGATCCTTCAATTTGGTGGAAGCCTTGTCGCAAAGAATTTCAAATTTGTGTACACTGTCAATGAAGTATCTCTGCGCACCACCTTCCTCAGTGAACTTCTTAGGAGTGTTTCGCGCATCGGGTAGAGCTTATGTTGAAAATGTAAATAGGCCGTTGCCCGATAATGCGGTAATGCTTATTTTCATAATGAAAAATACATAATTTTTTAACTCTAATTACTAGTTATTCGTAATAAATTTAATTACAAAAGTAAATCAAAAATTCTGAACTAGATTTTTAAATTAATCTTCTTTAATTGAAATACGGAAATCCGGCCGGATTTTACGTCGATATAGTCGGATAACATAAAAACGTCCAGATAAGCCGGATTCGGAAATCTACCGAATGTGCGGCACATCCCTAATATAAAACACACATCATAATTTGGAGCAATGTAAGCGCCAAACATTTATTTATGTTTTTTAACGATATTTTAAGCCGTGAAAGCCGAAGTGGTCTAATCCAATTTTTTTTTTGTGCTTAGCTACTTAAAATAGGGATCTTCATACCGAGCTTGGTACTAGGTGCTCGGTAATTTTTCACCGTGTATTTTGTTTGTGAAAAATTATTTTATTGTCGGATTACGGAGTACCGAATTATCGTGGCGGCAAACTTAATAATTTTTCTGATAGTTTGTAAACTGCTTAGCTGAGTCGAGATGTTCCAAGCCAGCACATTCGGATTAACCGCTCTTCAGTAACACATCCCCGACTTCTGCCACAGCCAATTTGTTATCAATGCCATATATTTTCTTCCTTCAAACTTTTCAAATATATGTATTTAAAAACGTCTAAAGTCCAGCAATTTTCCTTTTGCTTATATTATTCCAGAGATCACAACACACTCGAAGCCCTAGCCGCTCATGTTACCAAAGTGCATGGAGTCGCTTCACCTGCCGATGGCTTATACTATTGTCGTTGGATTGGTTGTACACGCATGCGCGGTTTTTCTGCACGCTACAAGATGCTCGTACATGCACGCACACACACCAAAGAGAAGCCCCATCAGTGCCATCTCTGCGCGAAAAGTTTTTCACGTGCAGAGAATCTTAAAATACACATTCGCTCGCATTCGGGCGAGAAGCCATACCTCTGTACTTATGAAGGCTGCAACAAAGCCTATTCAAACTCCTCGGATCGTTTCAAGCACACACGCACGCATGCCATGGACAAACCGTATATGTGCAAAGTGCCCGGTTGTCAAAAACGCTACACAGATCCTTCATCATTGCGCAAACATGTTAAGACATTCAAACATGCTGTGCAACTGATTGGTACCGCCGCTGTTACACCTATGAAAAGTGCCATGATTGGTGGTGGTATGGAAGTGGCCACAGCGGCGCAGGCTGTTGGTGCTGCTGGTGGTGATGGTGCTGCTGCTGCTGCTCGACAGACACATCGATCGAGCCTAATTTCATCGCCAATGCAAAATGTGGTAAACACTGCGGGAAACCATCATTTGCATGCTAATGCTTACAGCAATGATTACAGCGAAGCGGCGTCACCGCGGTGTCAGCTCTGCGTGCCGCCACCACCAGCGCCCCATTACTATCTCAATGCCATGGAAGAGGATATATGCAACATTAAGGCAGCTCAACTCGATTACTACTATGCCACAACAGCGGGTCATTCGCAGGCACGCAGCAGTAGTGCAGCTAGCAATTGTTGGAGCAACAACACACACAGTGGCAGCGAGAGTGCCCCCGTACTCGCCATGGAACTGGACACACCGCTCGATTTGCGAGTGAATCGAAGTTGAAAGTGAAGAAATTCAGTTATATTTTAAATTTATATACATACGTCAACTCTAGTCTAACAGTTTAGCTTGTAGTAAAAATAACATAAATACATATGTAGTTACATGCATATGGGGATTGAAGGAGGCCGAATATTGCTCATGCTAATGTACCTACATACATACATATAAATATTGATACTGCATGTGTTTTTTATCAAGACTGTTTTATTTTGAATAAAAAATAAATTAAAATAAGATAAGAAATTAGAAACTTTCGGTTTTACTTTATTTCAGAACTATTCAAAAAAAATATAGGTATCGGTAATTTTTCTCTTTTAACCGACTTCAAAAAAAGGAGGAGGTTATCAATTCATCGGAATATTTTTTTATGTATGTTGCCGCATAACTTTGGACCACATTAACCGATTTCGATAATTCTTTTTCTGGCGCCTCAGGGTAGGTCCCAAACTAACTTGGTTTAGATCCTCCGATCATTGGATCATGAAGATATTCACATTTTAACCCATTAGCTCTCTCACGAAAGGGTCGTTTTGGCCCCTTTTTTGGTAAGTCTGAATAAAATTGCATTCGGGAGGACCCGGAAAATTTTCAGACAAAATCTTTATACAAATAACGTAAAAGTCCACAGCAAATAAAACAAATATGACCCCAGAAATATGCAACAACTTTTTCATCCTCTCTTTTGTATTTTGTTTATAAATTTATCTCTATCTAGGTCTTTCAACCTTTCAAAAATAATCAAGTTAGTTTTTAAAATTATTTGGTTATATTTAATTATTTGATTACTTTTAATTACACAGACCGACAAAATAAGACCGATCTCCTTACCCAGAAACCAGACTATACTTTCCCGAAGGTTTTCGGTGCGCTCAACTCAAATATGGCCACAGAATTGCTCTATCACATCAGGATTTTTCCGTGAACAAAAAGTGCTGCGGATAGTACACATGGAAATTGGAAACTCCGTAAACTAAAAATTGTAATATCTCAGCGAAGCAAAAAGATATTTGAGCAAACTCGACGCCATTTCAAAGAGAAAGATTTGTACTTTAACACCTTTTTTGTACTTCTTGAGAAAAATTACTCTGGCTTGCATACACAACTTTAAAAATGGGCAAAAATGGCATTTTTTGCACTTTTAGGTTAGAATATCTCAAAATCCTGATGAGATAGAGCAATTCTGTGGCCAATACAAGAAGATTTGAATTCAGCGCACCGAAAACCTTCGGGAAAGTATAGTTTGGTTTCTGGGTAAAAATTTTGTCGGCCTGTGTTATTTTTCCAAATACATGAAGCAGTGTTTTGCAGACATATTTTTCTAAGCAAATTCACTACGCTGTAACCGCCAAAGCGATTTTGGCCGAGTCCAAAACAGCACGCCAGTTATTTCCCTTTTGTGCCAACTGACGACAATTGGAAATGCCATCTGAAGCCAAGTCCCTCTCCAAATGGTCTTTCCAACACAGAGGAGACCTTCCTCTGCATCGCGGCCCGCATTGAATACTTTCAGGAGCCACGCCAGCGGAGCCGCTGAATTTTAATTCGCTGCACTATGTCTATATCGTTGTAAAGCTCATACAGCTTATCGTTAAATCGTCTGCGGTATTCGCTATCGCCAACGCGTAAAGGTCCGTAAATCTTCCGCAGAAATCCGACGACTTCTTCGGCGGCGGTAATTAATGAGCCGGAAATGTGGTTCAACCGCTCGCATATGTCGGTTTGTTGAAGAGTGCTCTCTGAGAGCAGGTGTGGAGTCCAGTAGGGCATGCATTGACTGACTGTTGTGATTGCAGCTTTTCGACGCTATGCTTTCCTTGCATATTTGGGCGCAGATTTTTTTCCTATACAAGATAGTGGTCCGAGTCGATGTTTGGGCTCGGAGCCTGCCACAGCCACGTAGCTTGATGGATCTTTTTATGCTTGAACCTAGTACTGCATACTACCATGTTTCGGGCGCCGGCGAAGTCGATCAGCCTCAGTCCGTTGTCGGACGTTTCGTCGTGGTGGCTGAATTTTCCGACGGTGGTTCCAAAGATCCCTTCCTTGCCCACCCTGGCATTGAAGTTGCCAAGTACGATTTTGATATCGTGGCGGGCGCAGAGCTCGTACGTGCACTCTAAGCGCACCTAGAAGAGATCCTTGGATACCTCATCCTTCTCTTCCTTCTCTTCCATCGTGGCATGAACGCAAATGAGCGAGATGTTGAAGAATCTCGCTCGAAGGGGTTTTTACGCCGCACCTACTGGTGAACTTCTGTTAGGCCTTAAATCGTATAAGTCGGAGTTGCCCCACCGAAGTTCCCTCTCTTTCGGCCGTGACCCAAGGCTCCACTCGGATTGATTACCGCATCTCGCACATGGGTTGCTCACGTTGCCCAGAGTGCGCGAACGAGGACGCAAGAGTCGGGATTGAGTATAGCCGTGTAACTGTAACTGCATACCCAGTACAACGACTATTCCCCATTGCACTCCAAATACTACCATGTTTAATGGCAATCAAGGTGCAGGATTTATTTTAATTGAAACCCTCTTATTAAATAAAATGTAAATGACCAACATCATAGAGTTAAGACTCGTAAGAAAACGTTCCAACTTGATTTCCCAAATTTTTTTTTTACACATTCAAGTTTCTGGCACACGCGGGGGACGATATGTTCGAATTGGTTTTTATATGGAAGAAAATGAGCAACACCTTAAACTAAAAAATTTTCGAAAATCAACTGTAAGTCGTAGCTACTTCAAACTTGTACTTATTGTACTACAAATCAATATACTATAAAACTGCATACCAATATTTTCTGTAAAATATGTAATGAAAAACGAAAAAATTTTAATCAAAATTTTAAGACTTAAATTTTACACAAAGTTTAGAACTCTGATTTTTTGTGATTTGTTGATTTTTATAACAACTATGCCAAAATTTATTTATTTATCGGTTCCACTTATTAATTGAATTTATTCTAGCTTTTTGAGCAGGTGGCAACCCTCTTCAAAAATATTTTCCAAATAAAGATTACTCATTTAACTTAACTAAATTGGTTTTGAAGTTCTAAATATTTTCGAAATAAATCGTTTTCAAGCCCTTTCGTTTGACAGCAGCGTTGTTTTAATATTTTGTTTAACTTTTTAACTAATTGATTTCAGCTTTTCAAAAAGATGGCAATACTTATAAAAAATATACCCTTTATGTTAATTCACGTTATAGCTTAAGTGTGGGCAAAACTTCAATAAAATATGCACAAACTTTAACATTTATAAAGTAGTGTTAAAGTATTAATTTATTTTTTAATCCGATACATTTCGAGAAAATTAACGAAAATTGAATTCAATTTAAGTTATCATAGTGGTCCATACAAAAAAAAAATATTTTATTTGCTGCCTTATAATAGGTCTCGACAGACACATATCTTCGTTTAAAGTACAAAACCGCTCATCGCCATTCTGCAAAACCGCGTAACTGACATTGGCTGCCAAAAATTGGATTTGCTCACACAAGCTCTTGGCTCAATCCTTATCCATTCGTCCTGAAATATACTAGGCAGAAATGCGATTTCTTTATAAAAAAGAGAACCATTTTGTGTATGTAGATATTTTGAAGTGAAATTTCTTTAGCGGCGAAAGCGATGCAACAAAAATGGTGCAACGGAAATGGTTGGGACTCAAACAAGTGCTTCTTGTATGTACGCATATGGTATTAATTTAACAAAAACTTGTTAAAAAAGGTTAAAGAATAACACTTAGGAAAAGACCAATACAAGAATGAAAGTAAAGGTGCCTACGTACATAGAGAAAGGCAAAGGTAAAAATAAAAACAAAAACAAAGATGCGTAAAGATAAAGGCAAAAATGAAGACCAAGGTAAATTTGAACACTTTACTTATATAAACATATAAGGGCAAAGGTGAAGGGAAATAAGTAGATGAAGAAAATGATAAACATAAAAGTAAGGACAAAGAGGAGGATGAGGATACCTATAAAAATAAAGACGAAGATAGGGGAAGAAAGATTAAAATAAAGGTAATTAAAGAGGAAAGGATATAGAGAGAGACGCAGAGACTCAATCTGGGAACTATTTTGGGATTTTAGAGATTTTTGGGATTCTCGGAACTTATCGATAAAATAATAGATAATTTTATCGGTTTTATTATCGATATTTTTATCGAAATTTTTATCGATATTGTTACCAATTGTACTATCGATAGTTTCGGAACTTATCGATATAATAATCGATATTTTTATCGATTTTATTTTATGTACGCTCATATTCCTAGATTTGGTTATCGATTATGTTATCGATGTTTTTATCGATGTTTATCGATTTTGTTATCGAGATTTATCGATTTTGTTATAGATATTTGTCGATTTTGTTATGGATATTTTTATCGATTTTGTTATCGATGCTTTTATCGATTTTGTTATGGATATTTTTATCGATATTTTTATCGACTTTTGATAGATTTTGCCACCAATACTATTATAGATTTTGCTATCGAAATTTGTATCGAATTTTTCATCGATTTTGTTGTTTTTTGTTATCGATATTTCATTGGATGTTGCTATCGTTTTTGTTATCGATAGAGTTTAAAGATAAAAATGAAGATAAAGGAAAACAGAATAACATTAATGTAATTAGAACGAACAGGGGTAGATGTCTATATAGAAAAAAGACAAAAAATATAACTTTATGTGCAACTTGCTTTTCCATATTTTCTCTGTATTAAATAAGGGTAAATTTTTTTGTGGCGTACAATTATAATAGCCTTTAGTCCATAATGATTTTGCATATATGTATGTATTAAGATGGTAATCGTATATAATTTTTTATGAGATGCGCTTTTTTATAGCAGAGTACACTCGGAGGTTTGCCGTTGCCTGCTGAGAGACGACCGCTATTAGAAAAACTTGTTTGTTAAATTTTTTGATGGTGGTCGGAAAATGGGCTCGAACCCAGGCCCTGCGGAATGGTAACGCGCACTGCTAATCACTACACCACAGCGGCGGCCTATTTTATTTAATCGTTCGGATAAGCTATAAACCTTTATTTAGTAATTTTTATTTTAAAGGTGGAATACATGACACCAGCTTGCTGGCGCCATCAAGTGATTTTGCCATCGAAGCTCGAAGCATACAACATATTTACCAGCATTAGAGTGGTCCAAAAAAAAATTTCGAGATAGGGTTGGGGCACTTTCCACAATATTCCCTCTTGCCTACCATTTTGTTATAACATTGCTTTTTTAATTCGCAATTGCAATATTGGGAACTTGTAATCTTCCTAAAACACGGCTTTGACTCATAAATACATATATTGCAAGGAATTTCCGGCAAAATATTCTCTCAATTGAATTCATAATGGCGGTCGATGTTTACCGGTTGGCGACTTTAAAAAAAAAAAATTGGTTTCAACATGGACGACACACGCATGGTGTGATAATCAAGCAATCACACCACAAGAAAATGCACGGTCAAACGGCACGAACACTTGATGACGTCAGCATGCTGGTATCTTGTATGGATCTTTTCATACGCTCACAAAATAATTGTCATCTGACGAGTTTTACTTTTTGTTCAATTTTTAACAAAAATACATTAGCAACTGGGTGGTAAAAACTTACAACCAAGGACTTACAACATCTAGAAGAAGGCAGTTACAATCCTTCTAATCCTCATAGCACACTAAGTGACAAGACATATTGAAATTTATAAAGTATACATATGTATATAGATCAAAATTAAGTGCGTAAAATATTGTGTACATAATTCTACTTACCTTATTACGGCAAATTTAAAAAGTACAAGCCATCATCTTTTATATCAACCAGCCTTTCATTGAGTAACCGCTCGCCATTCTTTCGAAGCTCTAGGTGAAGTCTGTGTTCAACTTTAACATTTGTCGGCAATGGAGGATGACCAAGAGCATTGGCATCAGTTCCCTTCGCACGTTTTGCATTTATGTAGTTTGTATCAACAGTATACGCACAGCAGACACTATGCCGATCACACAAACTACGCAGGCGATCCACATTCCGCGAATAATGCGTTTGCATACGTATTCGACGTGCATATGTATCCAACCAATAGAAAGCATCCAACCCATCAATTGCTATCAAAGCACAATCAGGATGTTTCATTAGCAATATGTCTGCCGTTTCCAAAGCTGCATCAAAATGATTCGAACTATAACAACTCAACCAATGTATTGAATCCAGACACTTTTCTACCACTTCCTCCAATTCAGTAGCAGTGTGCTGCTCCGTCGAAGATACCACCATACGCCTGATTTGCTTTTGAAAGTGTTCAATATCGAATTTATGCCGCAGATCAATAAAAATTATATCGCAATTACGACCGCCAAAATAAGTTGGTGCAAGACATCGGGCCATTAAGCGCCAAAGTAACATGCTTTTGCCTGCTTCAGCCGGACCAGAAATCTCTGTTAGTGATTTGCTTAAGGGTGCATCATTGGCAAATACCTCCGTGTCCAAGTCGTGTAGCGTTGGACGCCGATAAGCAATCTCTCCCATGCATCCTTCGAAAGCATTAAATATTTTACAATTCATTTCAAATTGGATAAAACTTGCGCCAATAAAACCTTGATATGTAAACAAAACGCAATCGATGAAATCAGCTGCCTTTGACAGCCAGGGTTTTGGGGTTGAAAAATAGGAGCAGTTAGTTATGGTACTTATTTAATTTGTTTTTAATACAGTACCGACATTTCATCGGATTTATTTTTATTTTATCAGTTAGGAATTTAAAAAATATATACCAAGATATACCATATAAAGGAATCAAAAGGATATATTAAGAGAAAAATCGGTCGTAAGTGGCTAGTTCAAAAATATCGTAGCTGGATAAATCAGTTTTTCATGCTAAAAAATAAACCCAAAATTATGTGCAATCACAACTATTTATAAGCAAGTGTATACATAAAGTGATACACATTTCATTTAGATATTATGATTTTACAAATTGCTAAGCTTATATCTTAGCATTAATATCTGATGTCTAGTTATCTGCCAATAATTTTAATTGATTGAATTACGCATTCACTGAAATGGATTTTTTTAGTTTTGTTCGTGTCGATTTATAGACAAAATTTACTAGCACCCAGACTTAGGTGGTTACAATGCCAAGCATTACAAGGAAGTTTTGTTGTTTTATAAACATGACCAGCATTCATTGCTCTAGCTATTCGTACTTTATAATTTCTTTGTAAGCTTTTGATCAAATTTACTTTTTACAATCAATTCATTACTGACGCGATAACCCGACTTATGTTTTTGTAAAATCTCAGCTCTTATGTATTTTCTTTGTAAAATATTTTCTGGTGAATATAGATATATTAGTCGTGAGTTTGAGGTAAAAATTGCGCTATCATAAAAAAGTAAATAGAAAACAGAAAAAAACAATCAATCCGTATGTATAATATAATCCAGTTATATGTATTTATTGTATGTATATAAGTATTTGTCATTTATTATTATACACAGTCATATGTAATAAGAACTATGCACGTACATGTTTTTCTATTGTTTTCTAGTTTTAATTTATTTCTTGTATTATAATGCATACACTGGACCTATCGGGAATGCATTCAATTAGCAGACTGATTACACAAAAAAATTGTACTCGTAAATTTTTTTTTAATTTATATATACATACGTATTCATTACATATGTACACTTGTACATAAACATTGCGGAAAAATTACGATTAACAAGATACTGACTGACTACGTTTTAAGTCCTAACTAAATATATGTAGAGATAGGATATATTCATGTTAAGTTATATATATTAATATTATTTGACATCACAATGAGTGCACCGCCATTAAATGGTAGGACTCTTATTTTATTGTGGACTGCACTTAGGGGATCCAAAAGTATAATTGCTGAGCAAATAAATAAAGCGAATAGTAAAAAAAACACACATTTGCAAGCGTAACACAAAACTAAAAAAAAAACATTTGTTATTTGGATTAGTTAAAAAGGCAAGGTAAATGAAAAATGTTAACATAAAATAGAATTCATTCACAAATGATGTTTTAAACTTAAAATCCTATTTTAACAATCCGAAAACAATAATTAGATAATGTTGCTTTTGTTATGCTACCTTAAGCTAGCGATTTCTAGGAAATTGAATCGGTTGTGTGCAGTACTTAACTGCGGATAGTGAGGAGTATCCTCTTCTGCCGTCATACTTTGCATAGTTTTGTTATTTGCAATTTGCTGTTGCTATTGACCGCCCATAACTGCATTAGGTCACTTAAGAGTTGAAAATACGAATGAAGTAAATACGAGGGAAAATTAATTAGCCTAAAACAATGTTTTTCGCATGGCGTATATTTATGACTAAATCAGCATTTCAAGAGCTCTTTTTATGATAAAGTATGGCTCATTATACATTTTCCCTTATGCACAACACGCAATTACGCTCGAAAGAACCTTACTACCCGCACAATATATTGACGACAAATAGGACATTCGCTAAGAACTTTGCCACAGTTTGTACAAGTAGCCATGTGTCCACACTCAAGTATAACACACTCTATCGGGGCATCCATACAAATCTTGCAGAGTTCATCGGTTGGCAACTTATCGACAGCTGTGGAAATATTGAAATCATTCGAATAGGAAATTTAAGGAATGAAACAGATAATTATTGAATATTCGTACCCGGTGCCGATTTGAGGTTTTTCCAAAGACGTTGAACACGATCAAGAAGTTCTTGCTTCTCGCAGCAACCTTTGTAGTCAACCCGATTTAGCATTAAAATCTCTTTCAATTGCTTCACTGATAAACCTTCAAGGTCGTTACTACAAACATGATATTAAAAACATTAAGAATATATATGTTGATTACTTATCATATAAAAATGCGCTCGTCAACTATTTTTTTTTGTTAAACTCAATTTCAACTCACATATTTTGGAAGTCATCCAGATTAATAAAGCGTGACGGCCGACCATTATAATCGCCCCCTTCCGAAGGTGAACCCGCATATACATGAATACCCTCATTATCGTCCAACTGATATTCCCAATGTGGCATACTTGCCCCTTCCCAAAAATTGAATTGTTGTGTTTGAGATTGTCGACTTTCCGGTGATTGTGCGAAATTCCTACCGCTCAATGACGAGCCCACTGTTTCCGTATCTGAGCACTCCATTGACTTGGTGCGCAGCTCGAGGTAACTAAGAAAATCTTGAAGCTCTTTTTTAATTTCTGCTTCCGACAATTGAGCACTTTCCAAATGACGACGCATCTTTTCCACTTGTTTACGTAGTGTTGCCTTATGTTTACCACAACGTTGACAGCTACCAGCACCTTTTAAACTAATATCTTTTCCTCCCACCTCTGAATGGCCCGCATTATCGGCTTGCTCTGCATCCTGTTCAACCAGTGTCATTGGCGCTTTACGTGCAGTGTTGCACGTTGGAGAATCGTCTTCGCTAGTCGCTCGCTGACGCTGTCTGTTGAGGTAACTATCCGAACGACGACGTGTTACTTTTTTTAAGCGTTGCGGCGCAGTCGGTGTCTGAGACAACGCCTCTTCCTGCCGTAGTAATGACACCGCTACCTGCAAATCTTTTGGTGGATCTGAGTCATTTTCCTCAGTGAGCAAATTAGTACTTGTTGCCGGAGCAGCGGGAACACACGCCACCGTTAAGCTCTGTTCGGCAACGGGGCTTCCGAGAGTTTGAAGCGCAGCGTTGTCTAGGATTTGCCAATGCTCCATATTGCTGCTGTTGGTGTCAGTGGCAGCTTTACTCTCATCCGATATACCACCAATCGCACCCAATTCTTCAAATGATGATTGCGAAGACATTTCAGCGCAGTTTATATCTGTACTTGCTCTGGATTTATTACCTGTGCATTCATCTGGTTCGACTGGTTTAAGCGTTTCTTTATTAACTAGGTCAGCCTCGGATTTACGTGCCAAAGAGCGGCCACTGAAAGTCGCTATCAGTTCATCATCGGAGCATTCACAGTCGGAATTTTGTTCGCCCGCTTGCTGTCGAGTCAACCCAATGCGTTGGCTATTCGAAGTCGAAGCCAGTGGATGCTCTTCCGCCTCGGCACGATCAAGTGAGCTAATACTGATTTCAGGACTAACAGAGGATTGACTGCTGTCCTTAGTGGTTACAGATGATGTGGTGCTACTGACGAATGTGGGCGATACTTCATTCACAGTTGTTGCCGATATTGTTGTTATTGGTGTGGAAAGTGTTGTCCATGTATTTGGCGTCGTTGTAATCGTTGACTGTTGTACGTTATGGTTGTTATTGCTTTGCTGTTGATAACTAGCGTATGTAGGTATCTCCCGTGTTGAAACTCTAGGTTGATCGAAAATGTGCATCGTTGCACTGTCTGTCGAACCTCGCCCTGAGCGCGGCCCTTCCCTAGTTTCTTCGCCTGTCTTCGGTGTGCTTTTATTGTCGAACGTATTAAGGGTATCACTAATATTTTCAGTAATGCTAGTGAAAAAGTTTTGGCACGTCTGTTTCAATCCTTCAAATGAGTTTGATGATGGATCAGGATAGCTGCGGGTGCTACCATTATCCGATTCACCACCAGCTGCGTCAACTTGATGCACATGGGACAATACTAAACCTACCAGTTCATCCTTTTCAACACAGCCCGTCGTTGAAATATGCTTGGATTGAAGATAGAATATTAGATCTTTTGGCTTCAATTGTAGCAAATCAGTGCGCAGCAATGGACGCTTGGCAAAAATCACACATCGCTTACACAATTGCACACCCAATGATATATGAGCATTTTTAGATGTGAGACGTTTGGTCGTCGATAAGCAATTACTGCAATAAAATCGCCTGAATAAAAAGGACCAATTAGAATTTGTTATTAAAAATACATACAATATCAACTTAAAACATATGTACATATATATGCATACTTGCAATCCGCGCAGCTGCGCTTCCGGCGAAATACCGTGAATTGTACATGGCACGATTCGCAGGGCATCCCTATTGTTGGTACCGCAAAATGCTTTGCCTTTTTGTTGTTGTAACCTCTCGAATTACTAAAATTCACATTAAATTCTTCCTTTTCCAATGTAAACTATGACAAGCATTGAAAACTTCACTAGTTTTCGATTGTTTTGTGAATTAGAAAGCCTCGATGCTGGACTTTTGTACTGATCATAAAATCACTGAATCACTACAATTGTATGAGGCTGTCGCTGACACTGAAACCATTTTCAAGGTCCTACGCCACAAATATCTTCACTTCGCCTGCCGTTTGGACACTTGTGCTATCTCTGCGCCAGTCTGAACTCCACTAGACAATGTAGACAAAAAATTTATTTGCTGCAAAAATCGTTCGTTGTAAGCTATTTTATTTTTGCAATTTCCTGTGATTCACATCAGTTGCAAAGTTTTCTTGGATAGTGCTGTTGATTGGTGATGTTTTAATCGACAAAACAACTTCGATCAATATTGACTGCACATTCCTTCTCTATGACTGTAGCAGAAAATCGATAATAATGTTGTCGCGATCAGAATAGTAATTTCGGGCAAGATTATGAGACGTTAATTATTTAAGGCCGGTCCACATAGAACTTTCGCGTTGGCTTTGGCTTT